GCTCTCCATTGAAATGAATGGGATTGTGTCGCTTTGCTGTTGCGTGTCGCTTGTAGTGTGAACAGAGCTTTAGTGATGACTGGGCTTGAGATCCATTTCGGGTTTTCCATTTCCCAGGTGAAAACGTTAGGGCTGATTTTGTATCGACTCCGATACCTGGTTCTAGAATCAACAGAGTCGACAGAGTTGATACCAGAACTGGTTACTTACCTTCCGAGGTAAGCTTATACAGTATATAGGGATGTAACGATTCACTCAACTCACAATTCGATTCACGATTTTGATTTCACGATTCGATTCACCTAGATGTGAAAATACTAAATATTATATTAAATTATAATGTTATATATATAAAATCTGCAGTATGTATATACATACAAGGAATAAATACTTTAAATATATTTGATTTAGTTAACAGATAAACAAGGGAAAAATCAGTGCGACACGTAATGTAGCCTATATATGCCGAGTTTGAGTTCATTTTTGTGACACGCTTAATTTGTTCACAGAAAGGAAACTCAAATGGCAGAAAGTGACATCCTATTTGTTTTCTTTATTTTACAAAAGCACAATGTTTTGTTTTTATTGTGAGTGTACACAGAAAAAAAAGTAGACATTTTACAGTGATGCATTATTAATAAGACAATAAATGATGGAGTGTTTTAAGTTGATTTCTACCGAGGGGAATGCGATACCAAAGAGGGGAACCGAGAGGAATCCCCCCGAACGCTATTTACTGAGGGGAACGCAGAACGCGATCTGTACATAGGAGGGAACCATGCCCCCCCCTGTATATAGCTATAGGGTACAACGGGGCTAAAGGCGCCCCGGGGTAAAAGGCGCCTTAGATATTATTTTCATCTAAACCACTAGATGGCACAAAAACGTGGTGTAGCACTTTCCAAAACATCAGTTTTTCAAGATGCACGTGTATATTTGTCTGATCCTTGACGCGATCGCGATCAAATGAGAATCGCTAAAATGAATGCATATAATTTGAGACAAAGGTCTTATTTATGATTTTCAATTTTGTTTAAGATAATTAAAGCAACAGTTTTTAAATAACGAAAAAATATGTAAAATAATTATTTGGGGTAAAAAGCGCCCCTGCTGTTGGGGCTAAAGGCACAGTAATTAACATGATAATTAATAGATGGCTGACTTTTCCATTTGTTGAAATGACATGGCTAGGTTCAGATGGTAAATATCATATATTATGTTGGGTGTCCATATTAGAGATAATCTAATTCTAAATAATGTTTAGAATGAAACATTAATCATTAATCATATCATATAATAAAATATCATTTGTTGTTACTACTGTAAATATATATTCAATTATTATTGGATCTCCTTCAATACTTTCAGAATCTTTACTTATTAAAACGATTTTGTTTCTGTATTTTAAAATATATTTTTTATATTAACATGTTTTAATGACAGTATATTTATTGAAAAAAAATCTTTTATTTTTCAAAATAAGCAGAAAATAGTACAAACTTTGCTAAAGTGATTGTTTTGAACAAGTATTAACTTAGATATTATTTTAAAAAAACATTATTTTAGCTGAATTATTTGTATCAATACCGTGTGGTAAAAGGCCCCTCTTGCCACCTCATACATTTATAAGATTTTTAAACAAAATAAAAAACTTGAATGACGTATTTTCACACAAAATCTGTTGCTCCATTAATGTTCAATACAACGTATATATTTTTTCTGCAATTATACATTTTTTCTTAAGGTGGGCCTTTAGCCCCGTTGTACCCTACGTTTTTAAAGACTGAAGGAATTTTTTCGCCACCCAACACCTCGGAATTAAGAAATCAATTGTCTCACATCTGTTTAGTTACTGAGAGAAAAATCCAAAGCTTCGATTTTCAAAAAGTTGTCATTTTATTATGTGCGATTTGAGATTACCCACTTCAGCCGATAACTGTGCCAGTTTAGTAGTCATTCCACCTCACCTCATCACTCAGTTGGCTCAACCTTTACAGAACTAGTTTT